CCTTGCCCTGCCCTGCCCTGCCCTGCCCTGCCTCTGCCCTGCCTTGCCCTGCCCTGCCCTGCCCTGCCTTGCCTCTGTCCTGCCCCTGCCTCTGCCTGTGTGTCCCTTGTGTCATAGACCTCTTCACATCAGGGCTACTTTCTGCCACTACCTCTGCTCCTTCAATGACAGCCGTCCTGCCTGCTCACTTGCCCTTGTGAACTGTCTGGCCTCTCTAGGCCACTCTTGGGGCCTTTTCCTGTATAGTGCTTCCTCTGAAGGTCTGGTGCAGAACGCCCTGGGGCTGCAGGGCTGGCAGTTGGGAGTAGACTTGTCATCTGCAGGAAGCGGGTCGGGGATGAGCCAGAGCCAGCGGCAGTTCTGGCACTGATGGCCCTTGGCCTCTCTCCCTGCAGATCATCTTTCTGTCCAAGGGGAAGGATGCCATGCAGTCCTTCATGATGCCATTCTATCTGATGAAGGACTGTGAGATCAAGCAGCCTGTATTTGGTGCAAACTACATCAAGGGAATGGTGAAGGCCGAAGCAGGAGGTAGGTAGCGAGGGAGCTCGGGCACAAATGGCCCCCCACGGAGGGGCCGTGGGCAGCTCTGACTGCCACCTCGGGGATCCACCCCCAGGCCCTTCACCATCCTAGCCAGGTCCCTTTCCCAGCTCTGGGTTAACTTCGGAGGAATGCATGTGCATTTGCCTAATACTGGTAGCTGGGGAATGCTGGGTTAAAGTTAGCCACTCAGATCATCTTTCCAGAGAGTGAACAGAGTAGAAAACCAAATAAAAGTGCTTGTTGTAGCTAGGTGCTAGTGGCTCGTGTCTGTAATCCTAGCTACTCAGGAGGCTGAGATTTGAGGATCATGATTCAAAGCCAGCCTGGGCAGCAAAGTCCATAAAACTCTTAATCTCCAATTCACCAGCAAAAAGTCAGAAATAGAGCTGTGGCTCAAGTGGTAGAGTGCTAGCCTTGCACACAAAAAAAGCATAGCAAGAACACAATGCCCTGAGCTCAAGCCCAAGCACCAGTGATGGTATACACACATGTGCGCACTGGCTCAGGGCCTGAAGTCATGTCTGTGGGGCTGGGGATCTGGCCTGTCCATTCACCTGTCCTGTCCCTTTCTCAGGTGGCTGGGAAGGCTCCGCTTCCTACAAATTGACCTTCACAGCAGGGGGCGCCATTGAGTTTGGACAACGGATGCTGCAGGTGGCCTCTCAAGGTAGCCAGGCTCTAAGATTGAGGGGAAGGATGACACAGCCAGCATGTGGCTTTTTGTTTGAACTTTTTTTTTTTGTTGTTGTTGTTTTGTAAGCACCAACAGATAAGTATCTGCGCTCAGCTGACCAGGGCTGACCCGGGCTAGAGATGGGGGAAGGAAGCCTATAATTACCATCCCGTGTGTTCTGAACCCAAAGCCTGCGCTTCTCCCGCCTGGAGCAGGCAGATGTCATTCTGACAGAGCTGCTCATGCTTGTGCATTTTAAAACAAGCAACCCAACCATTAAAGTGCCTCTAAGCAACCATCTAAAATTCCCGAGCGCTGGGTTCCATCCTTTACCCCATCTCGAATGCCTCCCCCTGTCCTTGACTTCCATGGCTCTGACCTCTCCTCTCGCGGCGTCCTGATTAAGGCAGTCCCATGTGGGGTGGGCGGCGGGATGGAGCTAGGGTATGCCTGCTAGCCCAGTCCAGGGACCCAGCGGTCCCTGAGGCCGGCGCCACTCATGTCTCTCTCCCCTTGTACTTATAGCTTCCAGAGGTGAAGCCCCCAATGGAGCCTATGGGTACCCTTACATGCCCAGCGGGGCCTATGTCTTTCCCCCACCAGTCGCCAATGGAATGTACCCCTGCCCTCCTGGCTACCCCTATCCACCGCCCCCACCTGGTGAGTGTGTCCTTTGCTGCCCACCCCACCCATCCACTAACGGCTCCCCCAGGCTAGAGGGTAGAGAGGGGACGCTAGTTCCCTCACCTGCTTTAGCACTAACAGACATTGGAGAGGCTCAGAGGGCGCCCTGAGGAGCTGGCAGGCAGCTCTGGGAACAGCCTTCTTGGGGAACCCCGAGGGCCTGGCTGCTCACTGGGTCCCTGACATTTCTTGCTGTGCAGAGTTCTACCCAGGACCTCCCATGATGGGTGGAGCCATGGGCTATGTGCAGCCCCCGCCTCCACCCTATCCCGGGCCCATGGAGCCTCCGGTCAGCGGCCCTGATGTCCCTTCCACTCCAGCAGGTAAGGCCCCTGGGCTGTAGCAGTTTTTTGGGACCAGCCCTCCACTCCCCAAGATCTCCTAGAAAATCTCAAAATGGCCAGACTACTGAGAGCCACAAATGATGCAGGACTTCCCCCCCGGGGACCAGGAAGTGGGTGAAGAGCCTTAGCTAGCCGTGTGACTAGGAAGGTCTCCCTGCATTATTCTCTACAAACAGATGGCCACAGGACCACCTGGTGGGCTGCGTCTGAGTAGCTCAGTAAGACACGTAAAGTGGGCAGCCTGTGACAGGTGCTCCGGAAACTCACTGCAGCTTTGGTCTGGGTCACTGGCACCAGCTGTCCTGGGCCCTGGGGCCGGGATTTTACAGAGCTTAGGCAGAGGACTGGAGGGATTGTCACCAATGCCTGCCCTGTGTTTGCTCTCACAGCGGAGGCCAAGGCTGCAGAAGCAGCTGCCAGCGCCTATTACAACCCAGGCAATCCACACAACGTCTACATGCCCACGGTGAGTGGGGTAGGCCCACGGCCTGGGCCCTGCTGCCGGGGGGCGGGGGGAGACCCTAGCTTGAAGTGAACCCTCTAATGTTCTCTCTCTTTTCCTTCTCAGAGCCAGCCTCCACCCCCACCTTATTACCCCCCAGAAGACAAGAAGACGCAGTAGAGCCCGCCTGCCTCCCTGCCTCTCTTCTTGGGGGGTGGGGGAGGGGAGGCCTACAGGGCCATCCTTCCCCATCTGATCATAAACAGTTACCTGGAATGAGCAATGTGGGAAGGGCGTGGCCCCTTGACCTCTAGAGAGGCACCCCAGTTTCCCAGGCTAGCCCAGCCCACAGTGCTGCTTCCCTCTCGCCATCTCTGGGGCTCCCGGGAGCACGGCTGTCCCTCTGGTTCCTCTTTCTCTCTGATAACAGCTCCACTAGCGCCTTCCCACGGAGGGACTCTCTGACCACCTCCTCCACCACAGTCCAGCCCCTGGGTCTGGCCACCAGACTACACACAACCCTGTGAGCCGGCAGGGCAGGGCAGCCATGTCTTCCCGCCAGGCCTGCCAGGCTCTCCCATTCCGTCCCCTGCTGGGCGCCTGGCCCTGGAAGGCAGGGTGCCCCATCCCCCCCAGCTGTTAGGCCACATTCCATCCAGCCAGGCCCGGCCGCCTTGCCTCCTGTGTGGGTTTGGGAGCGTTACCATGAGCTGCTGTGTGACGGGACTGGAGGCAAGGCCTTGGTTTCAGGGAGGAAACCCTTTTGCGCCCCCTCCCCCTTAGAAAGTCTAATCTGTTCCCCCCTTCAGTCTTCTCCCACTCTAAGGGGCTTCCTGGTGGGAGTTGTTCAGCGCATGTCTGGCCCACTATGCCAGGCAGAGGCTGCAGGGTGGGCTGTGAACAAGGGCTGCAACCCTTGTGTCCCCAGAATCTGCTGCCACCCCTCAAAGCTTCACGCCCCCTGGATGCATTAAGACTTGTTCCTGGACTGGCCACAAAATGAGGAGATGGTTATTTAAAGAGAATTCCCTATTTATTTGACAAAATCCAGTTAATATATTAATGTGAAATAAACCCTGTTTGCACCTTGGATTTGTTTGCTAAAACTGTGAAATAGTAAAACTGAAGCAACTGGACCCTTTCTGGCTCTGTGTGGTGACCAGGGTCAGTCTTTCCAGAAGGACTGGCTGACTGTGGGAGGGGGGACACAGGGTTCCTCTTCTCTCCAGGTGAGAGACCCCCCTCCCTTCCTTCCTCCCTCCCTCCCTTCCTTTTTCTTTCTCCTGCATTTCTCTTTTTCCTTGGGGGAGGGGGGAGAGAGAGAGAGAGAGAGTGTGTGTGTGTGTGTGTGCGCGCGTGTGTGCATGTACACGGCACATGCATGCATTCACTGGTACCTGGACTTAAACAAAAGGCTTCATAAGCTCACTTTTTTTTTTTCTTTTTGTCGGTCATAGGGCTTGAACTCTGGGCCTGGGCGCTGTCCCTCAGCTCTTCACCTCAAGGAGAGCCCTCTACCCCTTGAGCTACAGCGCCACTTCTGGTTTTCTAGTAGTTTATTGGAGATAAGAGTCTCACAGACTTTCCTGCCCAGGCTGGCTTTGAACCGTGATCCTCAATCTCAGCCTTCTGAGTAGCTAGGATTACAGGCAAGAGCCACCAGCGCCCAGCTCACTTTTTGTTTTTCACTCAAAAGTTGTCACTCTACCTGCCTCACTTTTTTTTGTTTTGTTTTTCACTCATAGTTGTCACTCTACCACTTGATCCACACTTCCACTGGTGTCGGTACTGAGGCTTGAACTCAGGACCTGGGTGTGTTCCTTAGCTTTTTGCTCAAGGATGGTGCTCTATTATTTGACTCAGCTCTACTTCCTACTTTAAACATCTCTGGACTTTCTCCAGGCTATCTTCAAACCATGATCTTCAGATCTTAGCCTCTTGAGTAGTTAGGATTACAGCACCACTTTGGTTTTCTGGTGGTGAATTGGAGATGAGTCTCAAGGACTTTCCTGCCCAGGCTGACTTTGAACCATGATCCTCAGATCTCAGCCTCCTGAGTAGCTAGGATTACAGGCGTGAGCCTCCGGCACCAGCAAGACCCTGGTTCTTAACAGCCTGTTTAGTCAGCAGCTATTAAAGCCCCCAACATCTGGTGCCACCCAGTGCCTGCCTGGAAACAGAGCCTATGTCTCCTGCATGCAGCTCCTACTGGCTGCCCAGGTCCAGGCTCAGGCCAGGCACTGGAGGAAGGAGGCTGAAGCCTGCCGGGACTTGTGAAGGATAAATCTGATTGTCTGCTTCAGTGTTCTCACCTACAAGCACGGTCCCAGGACCATGGTGGGCCTATGTCTAAGAGTAGATGGATAAGACATAAAGGGACAGGGAAGGACAGAGCCATGAGTGACAGGTGCTCAGGAAAGGCGCCGCTGCTTTTGTCAACGGCCTTGGTTGGCAGCCCCGCCTGCCCCGGGCCTTAGCGCTTAGATGTTGCCAAGATGAGCAGGGGAAGGGAAGGGGAATTGTGCGCCCTTGAGCGGCCTTGTGTACCTGCTGGGAAGAGAATGGGGGGAAAAGCCAAAGCCTTTGGGCCAAGCCTGGGCCCTGTCCCCAACTGGACCAGGAGCTTTGGAACCCCAGTGCTAAAGTTTCCTTTTCCCTTGGGGCCTACAGCGGCCCTGTGAAGAGACTCATGGGAGCCTCCCCCTCCCGCTGGCCCTGCCCCAGGGGCTGTGGAGTTTTGCGAGAGACAAGCTGGCCCCTCTTTACACAGCTTGACCTGTCACCTGCATGGAATGTCACCTGTGGGGTGGAACAGTTTGCGCCATTGGCTGCCTGCTGGAGAAATGCCTGCGGAGCCCCACCCCACAGCCTGCCCCACCCCTGCCCACATCTGACGTTTAGTCCGGGAAGGCCCGTCAGCTTTGGGTAGGGCACTGCCTGGCTTGGCTGTGTGGCCTGGTCCTGTGGCCCTTTGCAGTGAGCCCTGGACCCTCTCCAGGGCCTCTGTGGGAGGTGGGGTGGGGCTGGGCTGCCCACAGGGCAGGCCCTGGGGAAGACCCTATAGGAATGCCAGCTGGAGAAAGATACAGGTTGCCTGGGAGACAGCCAACCCCTCCAAGACAGTGACACGGTACCCCATTCCCCCGCTGCCCGCCCTCCACCCTCCCCTGGCACACAGGCAGCCCCGGGGCTCTTTGCATCATCCTGTGGCTTTGCTGTCTTCACCCAGCGGCTGTGGGGCAGCAGAGGGAAGGGCAGAGCTGAGCACCATGGCGACACGCCTTTCTGACCCCCAGCGGTTGCGTCGGGCCATCAAGATAAGACGCAGAGGAGCTCGAGATCTCCCCGATGCCCGGGCCCAGGCAGCACAGGAGGTAGGAGGGACCCTGGGGGGGGGGCGGCGGGGGGAGAGGAGCTGGTGCTGGGGGCTGCCTAGCGCCTGCCCTAAGGCTTTGGTGTATAGGTGTATGGGACCCTTCCTGGCTGTCTGCCTCTACCGACCTGTCCCACCCCTGCCCCCATTGGTCCTGGACAGCATGCTGGGTTAGCAGAGCTGCATCTACCATTTCTTTGGACTACCAAGGGTTTCTCAGGTCTGGGACCTGAGTCTGTCTAGCCTCCTTTCTTTAGCAGACCTGATCCTGTCCCAAGGCAGTAGTCTTGCTACCAGCACTGGGGTACTGGGGACCCCTGAGCCACCCTAGGCCTACCCAGCATCCCCCTCCAGCCCCATCATCTCAGCGCTGGGCCTCATTTCCGCTGCTGGGGTGAGGAGCAGGCTGATAAGCTTTGCTGTTTCCTCTGGGGCAGGAAGGTGGGGTGGCGGGGAAGGGGGGAGGTGGCACAGGCCCGTGGCTGGGCCAGCTGAGCATCCATGGACCTCAGCAGTAACAGGCCAGGGGACCAGCAAGGCAGGCCAGGGGCCAGTCTCCCAGGAGACCTGCCATGGGAACAGGTATGGGGCGCTGGTGGGCCCGGAAGCTGGGGTGCGGGGCTCTGCCGCCCTAGGCCTAGACCTTGCCTGGCCAGGGAGAGGTCGCCAGGAAACCTGGCCTTTCCATCTTGCTCTCCAGATCAAGCCTCCATCGCACCACTTCTCGCGTGAGGAGGTAAGAGGAGGGGGCACGGGGAGAGGAGGTCGCAGCCCTGCATCCTCCGGGACCCTCTGGGAACGTCCCTCAGCCCCAGCCCAGGGAGGACTTCAGAGTCTCAGCCTCTTCCCCTGCGAACGCCACTTCCTGTCCCTGCGTGGGGGTGGCGTGAGGTATCGGTACTAGGGATGGCTGAGGGGAGGGGGGTCACGAGGGTCCCGTGGGGTCCCCACTGTGTCTCAGCGGGACCTGCTGTATGAGGAAGCACTCTACACTGTCCTGCACCGCGTGGGTCATCCTGAGCCCAACCACGTGATCCAGGCCTCCGAGCTGCTTCGGTACCTGCAGGAGGTGAGCCAGTCCCCGCCCCATGCGCCATGCTGTCCCTACCTGGACTCTAGAGCCCACCCTTCCCAGCCTGGCCACCCCCCTTGGGTCTGCAGCCTCCACATCCCTGCCTCCCCCTCACGGCCTCCTCCCTAGGCCTTCCAGGTACCCCCGGAGGAGCACGAGCAGATCCTGCAGCGTGTCCAGGAGCTTGAGGTAACCTGGGCACCTAAAGAAAGAGCAGGCTGTGCTCCCCCCCAAACCCCCCACCCAGGGACTCAGCAGCCCCCTCCCGTCCCTCCAGAAGCCAATATTTTGTCTGAAGGCAACGGTGAAGCAGGCCAAAGGCATTCTGGGCAAGGATGTCAGTGGTAAGTAGGGGGTGTCCCTGAGAATCTTCTCCCTTCTTCTTCCTCTCTCATCACAGACTAGCCCCGAACTCTTGGCAGGAGCTTTCCTTTCCCAAGCATCCCCAGGGCAGGCCCCGCACTTTTGGCGTCTGGGCTAGACGGGGGCCCTGTGTAGGTTTAGCCCAAAGGGCTGAGGAGGTTCTCTCCAGGGAGCCCGGCCAACGCCCTGGTGTCCCTTCTCCCAGGATTCAGTGACCCCTACTGTCTGCTGGGCATCGAGCAGAGCACGGGCATGCCCGGGGGCAGCCCCGCGGCTCGGCGTCGGCAGAAGGCCGTGGTGAGACACACCATCCCCGAGGAGCAGACCCACCACACCCGGGTCATCAACCAGACCCTCAACCCCGTGTGGGAGGAGACATTCATCCTGTACGTGACCCCGCCCCAAAGGTCTCCCCGTCCCTCAGGCTGAGCTTCCTCAGTCCACGACAGCAGTGAAGCCAACAGTCTTCCTGGCTTAGCCCTGAGCAGTCGAAGGTAGACAGAAAGAACCCTGACATAAATGCTGCATGTGTGTGTGCCTGGTGCTGTGGTACACGCCTGTCCTCCCAGACAGAAGCAGGAGGATGTAGCTAGACCTTGACTGTACCTACATTCACCCGTGCATGCATGCCACACATAGTGGTAATGAGGAGAGCCGAACGTCTTCCCCTGAAGGAGGGAGGTGTGTGGTTGGGCAAGGACCAGGCACTTCGCAGAAAGAAGCGCCGCTGGGTGCCAGCACTCAGAGGCCTGAGATTTTAGGATCGTAGTTCCAAGTCAGCCTGGGTGTGAAAGTCTGTGAGACTCTTTCCTCCAATAAACTACTAAGAAAAAGATGGAAGTGGTGCTGTGGCTCAAGTGGTGCTGTGGCTCAAGTAACAAGCTAGGCCCTGAGTTCAAGTCCCAGGACTAGCACAAAAAAGTAAAATAAAAAGGAAGGAAGGGAGGGAGGGAAGAAGGGAGGGAGGGAGGGAGGAAGGAAGGAAAGGAAGGAAGGAAGGAAGGAAGGAAGGAAGGAAGGAAGGAAGGAAGGAAGGGAGAGACTCCATGATGGGCAATATTGGAGATACTGGCTCTGAGCTGGGGTCTGGTGTGGGGGGTGTACCTCAACCATGCTCTTTTGTCCCTACAGGGAGTTTAATGACATAGCCAATGCGAGTTTTCACCTGGACATGTGGTGGGTGACATGCCCTCTGGGGGGGGGTGGTAGGAAGGAGAAGGGAGGAGAGGTAAGGGCAGCAGGGTTGACTTCCTAAAGAGCTCATGTACTCTCTCTGTCTCTCGCTCAAACCTCTGGCCCACCAGGGACCTGGACACGGTGGAATCTGTCAGACAGAAGCTTGGGGAGCTCACAGATCTGCACGGACTCCGGAGGTGGGTGCTGCGGCTGCGAGGGACGCAGGTGGAGAGGGAGGGGGACAGGTTCCTCACCCCTGCGTGGACGCTGCCTAACACAGGATCTTCAAGGAGGCTCGGAAGGACAAAGGCCAGGATGACTTTCTGGGCAACGTGGTTCTGAGGCTGCAGGTGAGATGGGGGTGGGGGGAGAGAGGGGCCTGGAAAGAGGTATAGGGAATGTCAGGCGCTGGTGGCTCACACCTGTCATCCTAGCTCCTCAGGAGGCTGAGATCTGAGGATCATGGTTCAAAGCCAGCCTGGGCAGGAAAGTCCGAGAGACTCTGATCTCCAATAAACCACTCAGAAAACTGGAAAGTGTGGCTCAAGTGGTAGAGCATGCCCCCTGAGCTGAAAGAGCTGAGGGACAGCGCCCAGGCCCACAACTGATGGGGAAAATAAGAGTTGCAGGGAGGGGAGTGTGGAGGGTTCTGGGGAGAAGCTCCTGGTCTGCACCTAACTGAGCCTGGGCACTGGACACCCCCCCCCTGGCCTTTCCTGTCCCATCTCTAACTCCATGAGAAGTCCTGGTGCTCATCGGGGGTCCTCCACCTGCCAGGACCTGCACTGCAAAGAGGACCAGTGGTACCCCCTGGAGCCCTGCACGGAGACCTACCCGGACCGGGGCCAATGCCATCTCCAGTTCCAGCTGATTCACAAGAAGGTGGGTCCGGGGTCTGAGCCAGGAGCTGTGTCCCATGGCCTCAGTGCCCTGGCCGGGTGGGGCAGCCTGGCGGCTGCTACCTAAAATCTCAGCTGTTAGCTACACCGGTCCCATTACAGAGAGCCACTGTGGCCAGCCGCTCCCAGCCCAGCTACACCGTGCACCTCCACCTTCTGCAGCAGCTCGTGTCCCATGAGGTCACCCAGCACCAGGTACTGCCCGCCCAGGACCGGGCACAAGGGGTCACCTGTCAGCTCCTGATAGCTCTCTGCTGTTCTCTTCAGGAGGGCAGTACCTCCTGGGATGCGTCACTCAGTCCCCAAGCCGCCACCATCCTCTTCCTCCATGCCACACAGAAGGACATATCTGACTTTCACCAGTCCATGGCGTGAGTACACACCCCTGTAGAACCTCTGGACAGCTGGCAGCCCAGTAAGAAACCAAGGGAAGACTAGTGCCGGCGAGTCACGCCTGTCATCCTAGCTACTCAGGAGGCTGAGATCTGAGGATCACGGTTCAAAGCCAGCCTGGGCAGGAAAGTCCATGAGACTCTGATCTCCAATAAAATAATCAGAAAAAGCTGAAAGTGGTGCCGTGACTCAAGTGGTAGAGCACCCCAAGAGGTAGAGTGCTAGCCTTGAGCAAAGGCAGTGCGGGCACAGTGCGCAGCCCTGGGTTCAAGCCCCAAGACTGACCCACCCCCCCAAAAAAAGCTAGGAAAATGCTCTGGCCCAAACTGTGCATTTTCAGTTTGAACCTGTTGTCAATTTAAAAAACTATGGAGACTTAGCCTGACACTGGTGGCTCACGCCTGTAACCCTGGCTATCGAGGAGACTGAAATATGAGGATCACAGTTCCAAGTCAGCATGGGCAGAAAAATCCCAAAGACTCTTTTTTTTATTTTTGATTCGTCTTGGGATTTGAACTCTGGGAAAGGAGCTGGGCAGCCAGTGGCTCATGCCTATTATCCTAGCTACCCAGAAGGCTGAGATCTGAGGATCTCAGTTCAAAGCCAGCCTGGGCAGGAAAGTCCATGAGATTATTATCTCCAGTTAACTACCAGAAAACCAGAAGTGGCACTGTGGCTCAAGTGGTAGAGTGCTCACCTTGAGCTGAAGAGCTGAGGGATAGCGCCTGGAATCCAAGCCCTACAACTAACAAAAGGAGGGGAAAAGAAGTACAGCCATAGCTTCATTTCTGACTTTTTAAGGTGCTGAATTGGAGATAAGAATCTCTTGGACTTTTCTGCCCAGGCCAGCTTTGAACTATAATCATCAGATCTCAGCCTCCTGAGTAGCTAAGGTATAGGCGTGAGCCACCAATGCTAAGCCTGAAATCTGGAAATGTAACCATCACAAATAGCCCATCTTAACAGATGTGGGATTTGAAAAGCATCCACGCACGTCGCCTTCAGCCTCTAGTTTTAGCCTGTCTGTTGATGGGATCCATAGGCGCTTTAGAGCAGGGGTGCCCGGCCTGGGAGGGACGCGGATGGTTTCCTGCCCCCTATAGGCAATGGCTGGCCTACAGCCGCCTCTACCAGAGCCTGGAGTTCCCCAGCAGCTGCCTCCTGCACCCCATCACCAGCATGGAATACCAGTGGGTCCAGGGCCGGCTCAAGGCAGAGCAGGTAGGTGGGGTCATGAGGGGAGGAAGGGGGGCTGGAGACTGTGAGTAGCTTTCCTCCCCCTCCTCCCCCTCCTCCTCCTCC